TCATATTATGAAGCTCATGATCATATTATGAAGCTCATGATCATATTATGAAGCTCATGATCATATTGTAAAAGCTCATGATCATATTGTGAAGCTCATGATTATATTATAAAGATCATAATCATGTTGAAGCTCATAATCATGTTGAAGCTCATAATCATGTTGAACCTCATAATCATGTTGAAGCTCATAATCATTTTATGAAGCTCATTATCACATTATGAAGAATGTCTGTGCTATGAAAAGAACAAATTACACAATTCACGTTCGTAACACCTCTCCCCCCTTTTGTAATACGAAGGATATGAAGGGATGATCATTTAGCAGGATACTGACCCCAAAATCGTTTATAATATGAACGAAAAACTTTCATACCAAGTTAATAACGTTCCAGTTCCCAATTTTTGCGTTCTGACGCCCATTGGCGGATCTGAGAGAGCGACGCGACATGTTATATAGAGGGGTGGAGGGTGGCTGGGCAGTGGGGAGAGTTCAAAGAGAGGGAGAGAGGGGGATAAAAAGAGAGCAAGCGTTCCGATGAGGTGAAAAGGGAACCGAGCCAACGAATTTAATGCCAACCAGCTACATTGCGAAACGACATTCATCCTACATTCACTCACACAGGCACACGCCGGAGGGTACTCGACGCAGGGCGCGGGGGTAGGGGGAGAAATAAAGAAGGGTGATCAGAGGATGCCAGGGGATACTCGATGGTCTCACAAAGTCAGTAAATGTGCATTGTAGGGTATTGGAAGGCCAGACATAAATGTGTCCCGGAGATAACACATATTGGCAGTTACTTTTTTTTGTCCTTCTTTGGGACCGCTCTTTCTCTCTAAAAAAATAAAATAAACAACAAACAAACACGCGTGGGGATTTTAATTTAATCAAGTGTTTTTTTTCTTTCTCACCAGTGACACGCACGACCGTGGGCGAGCTGGTGACGAGCTGGTTGGTGAGCCGGTGGCGAGTGCGGCACCAGTAGCGTGAGAACTGGTCGGCGTACTCCACGTTGCTCACGAGCAGCTCGCCGGAGGGCAGCATCCAGTGCTTACCGTCTGCCAAGAAACAAAAGAGACACAGAAGGAAGAATAACAGCTATAGGCAAAACATAACAGAGCGGGATCGCAAAGAACGAAAACAAATAAACTTTGACATCGCTGTACTCGCTCTCTCGGGGGCTGTGCCCACACAACGTGACATTGCGAAGAGGGAGGGAGGGGGGGGGGGACTAAAAAAATGGGTCCCAAAGGGATCAGGATGGTCATTGAAGTCCCACGATTTCACTCACAAACCAAGTGTGCAACTGCTTAACGGTTCTTGTAAGTGTCCAGCAGCAAGTTATTACTTGAAAGAAAGTATTGAACTCGTGTCTAGGTGTTTTTTTCCATTTATATAAGTGTGCAACACTCGTCTGTTGAACACACAAAATAATATAAACGGTTTTCCCTTCATTTAAATGGAGCCACGAAGATGAGTATCGCTCAAACTGGGCACCAGTTGATTCCGTCACTCTTTTAAGACGAGACACATCACCTAAGCGTTTTCAAAGAAGCAGTTGCACACTTATTGCTTATCAGTGTTGCACTCTGGGGTATGAATTTAGAGAACCAATATATACAGGGTGGTCCACAGACCCCTTCTTTTATTTTGCTTATACTGTACCGCATGTAGGCGTGCGGGCGGGCTTGCCTACCGTCGCTCACCGCGGCGCCTTACGGCCCCGTGTGAGTATGCAACCCGTCCGCACGCCTGCATCCGGTACAGTATAAGCAAAATAAAGGAAGGGGTCTGTGGACCACCCTGTATAAGCTACAAATATCAACGGCTATACAAGGTAGACGCACGTTAAAACCGTGTGAGGCTGAGCTAAATG